CCAGGACAGACTGAACTGTATACTGAGACCCTGTAAGAAATAAAGAGGAGGGCTGGGGATTTAGCTCAGTGGTTCCGCTGCCTGCCTCGAAAGCGCAAGGACCCGAGTTCGATCCCCGGTACCAAAAAAATAAAAATAAAAAGAGGAGCCAGCATGGTAGTGTACACCTGTAATCCCAGCACTAAGGCAGGAGGATCAGGATTGCTGAGTTCAAGTTCAGTTTGAACTAATAGTGAGAACTTGCATCAAAAAACCCCAAAAAGGGGAAGAAATAAAGAGGAGAGAGAGACTTGCAGCAAGGACAAGCTTTATTGAGATAAAGAATCAAGAGGGGCCACTGGTTCTGAAGTGCCGAAACAGCAGCTCTCTTACAGAGTTAGGGGCTTATGAGGCATAGCAGAGAATGAGGAAGCTGGGCACTATTCTGGGATGGTGCTGTCTATCTTAGTCCATGGTCACTGGTCTGTTTCATGTTTGCATACAGTTCCCTATTCTTCTGGAGCTGAGGGCCTCTTGGTCTGGAATGGTCATATTGTAGATAGGTAAATTACACTTGATCTTAGCCAAAAGGCCGAGAAGCATAGGTAAATTAATTAGATAATTTATAGTCAGACAGGGCCAGCCCACAAGGAGCCAACATGGAGGAGAGTGAAGACACATTCACTGAAGGCCAGCAGTGTAAAAGGAGAGAAACTACCTCACCCATGTAGGATGATAGCAGTGATTGTGTGATTGTTATTCTAAACAGGCATCAGTCACCTGGGTGGGGGGCCAAGGTCTTAACCCAGCCTCTCTAGGAAATATCCCTGACCCACCCTTACTGAAAATCCTTGTGTGCTTGCTGTGTGACTTGCTCCCCCATTTGATCCCCATTTAATCAATATTATCTGGGTGACTGTACTTGTAATCTTATTGGTTGGTCATGGTTTTGCCCCACCTCATGCCCACCTTGTAAAATTCCATTGGGTCTTATAATTTTGTACCCACCTCACCACAAGGCTCTGCTGTATAAAGCATCTTTGAACCATGGGGTGGGCAGGCAACCCACTTTCTGGTCCCCCTTCTGTGTTTCTTAGACAGCAACTTTCTTTCTCTCAATAAATTTTTCCTACTCTTAACCTCTGTTGTTCCTAGAATTCATTCTTTGATTTTAGAGAACATGAGCTCACATTTTGGATATCTAGTAGGTTTGGGAGTTGCATCTCTTCCCCTATATCAGTCTGTTCTGTAAACAAGAACCAGGTGAGTTAATTAGGGGTACTGATATTACCAGGCTAAGAGAATGTGGGGTGGGTCAGAATGCTTGGGAAGATGTCCTTCCGACTTTTCCTTACAGAGTCTGTCTCAAAACAAATAAACAAAGGGCTACAGATGTAGCTCAGTGTGAAAGCTGTGAGTTCAATCCCCAGTACAAAAAAAGATAAAAAGAGAAAAGCTCACAAACTCTAACCAAAGTCTTGTATGACTTGGGAGCCTCAGGATGAAGCCTGGAAGCCCTGGGGTGATGGGATATTTTTATACACGGGTTTGATGAAGAGCCAGCAGTCGTGGAAGAATGAGGGGACCAGGAGGGGTTTAATGTGACCATGCAGGCTGGGGGTTAGCAGGCCTGGTGGCTCAGCCTCTCTCCTGGGTTTCCCTGTGACCTTTCCCTGTGTATGGTCAGGACACTGGTGCCACTGAGATAAGGGAAATAAATGTAGCTCCCAACCTACTAGATGTTAGATAGCCGAGTTCATGTTTCTCAGAGACAAAGAATGAATTCTAAGTAGCAACGGAGGTTAAAAGTTGGAAAATTTATTGGGGAATAGGGACGGCTCCTGAGAGACTGGAGGGGACCTGAATGGGTTGCCAGTGAGCCCACTTCTCTGAGGAAGTTTTACGGAGCAAAGTCAGGAGTGGGTACAGTGTGGGTCAAATTATAATCAACCATTCCGATTACAAGTATAGCCACTTGGCTGATATTGATCCAGTAGTAGCAAGGGCATGTAGATGACATCAGTAATTTTGGTCGATAATCTATTGTCCTAGTCTTATGTTTAGTCTTAGTCTCAGTAGTCTCAGTTTTAATAGTTTTAGTCTTAGTGGATGGGAGAAGACAGCCCACCCCTAATGAGATAATGGTTTATATGGGAAATTTCAAAAGGGAGGTGCCAGTAACCTCAAGTTCTTCCAGGACACAGTCCATCTGTGACACAGTATGACTTCTCAATTTGTTACCATTTGTGTCTAGATGTCCCCCCAAAGCCTCAGCAATCATAGGTGGGGCTTTTTCACAGGTGGCTAGAGTGTGTGACACTGGAATTGATCCACGGTGCAGTGCTGGAATCAAGGGCCCTAGGATTAAGGGTGTGTGAGTGCTACCCGCCCTAAGTAGGCTGGATAGGATAAAGGGGGCAGAAAGAGGCTGTTAAAGTGTAGGGAACAGGGAAAGGGGATGTTACTAGCACCTCTGCAGTAAGTCCTAGTCTCCTTCGAGCCCCGGCAGTACAAGGTGAATTACAGGAAAGGTGGAAAAATGAGACTGAGAAGAAGCTGAGCTTTGGATCTGATCAGTGCTGCTCTGGGTGGCAAAGAGGAAAGCCCCCAGCTTACGGTACATCGGAGAAACAAATGTAACAAATGACTTGCAGAGAGTTCAGTACATCCACGTAAACAAGATGTAACAATCCAAGAACAATGAGGAACTGAGTAGATGTTTGTTCCTCCCAGGATGTCTTCAGCTGGTGTAATCTTGTCCTGGAGAATCCATAGCTGGGCTGTAGGCAGGAGAATTAGGCTAACCAAATGATTTTACCCAAAAATTATATAGCATTGCTCCTGACATTAAGGGGCTGGGGATTTAGCTCAGTTGTTGCGGTGCCTGCTGTGCAAGCGCAAGGACCTGAGTTCGATCCCTGGTACCAAAACAGAAAGAGGCTATTAAGGTCCCTTGCTTGCTTGCTTTTGCTGTTTTCCATTTGCCATGAACCGTTTCTCCTGCGAATCCCTTCTGCCATGCCACCCTGCCTTGGAGCCAGCCAACTATGGACTGAAACCTCTACAAATGGTGAGCTAAGTAAACCTTTTCTCCTTTAACTGTGAGTGTTAGGTATTTTGTCTCAGCAACAAGATAAGTAACTAGGACAGAATTCATTTTTCAATTTCAGGGGATGCAAACTCGGTGTGGCAAATGGCCGGGGTGGGGGGCAGTGGTGAGACTACCTGAGCAGGCTAGTGGGAGGAAACGTGGCACAGACTCTATTCATGTGGGTGCAGGTTGATTGAGGGTGACAAAAGCCATCAGTGGTGAACACAGAAAAGGCTGCAAGTTTTTTTTTTTGTCTTTTTTGGTACCAGGGATCGAACTCGGGCCCTTCCTCGTGGAACCACTGGGCTAAATCCCTGGCCCCCTAGGCAGCAAGTTTTATAGGGGATTGGGAAGGGGTCTGGCATACACTGGGGGTCAGAGCAAATATTTGCAGTCAGGGTCCATGCAGCTGTCAAGGCAGATGCATGGATTTTATCAGGTAACTGGGTGCCTGGAAGATGTTGTGCTGTACTTTGTAGTTGTATCTGTTTTCTATAATATCCCTTTCTGTGTTCCGTCCACTTGGAGACAGCACAGCCTGCATCTGGTTTTTAGCCACCTAGGGGAGTGGTGCCCTCCTGCTGAGGGCTTTGGTTTTGCATCTGCTAGAACCTGTTGTTTGGAATTAAACAAAATGTATACCAGCAGGTTGGGAGTTGTCTCCTGTAGCAGTGGGATGGGGACAGAGACCAGTGACACCTCTCTCAGAACATGTTCCTGCCAAGTGATGAGTGACTCCTTGGCAGTGCCAAGCTGCTATACTTGGGATGTCATGTCCTGAGCACCCATAGATGCAGATACCACCTCCACAGGCCCTGCATCCTTGGGCTGCTGAGCACACAGCCCAGACACGAGTCGCCACACAGAACAGAGGGTGCTGACGAGCACAGGGTATGACTGCAGCCCACCCCAGGCCCAGGAAAGGTACTGCTGGCCTCATCCTTCCAGAAGTGCAGGGGCAGCATCCCCTGGGGGTGCAGGTGACTTCCCAGGGCCTCCCTTGCATCCCCAGACCCAGCTGATCTTCCTGACAGATGCTGTGGCCTTGGCACTCAAGGTCTTGCTGGCCTTGCCCGCCAGGCCAGGGCGCCCCCTGTGGTCTCTGTGTAAGGCTGGGACTCTGGGGACCCCCACGTGGCACCCATCTGCCCCTTCACATCCCCTCTCCACCTTCCTGCGCCTGGCTGCTTCTCTGGAAGTCAGCGAAGGACCCCGTGGGGACACCAGCCAGAGTGCAGGGGGAGGGCGGGCCCCAGGCCCACAGTGCCTGGGGATTAGGTGGCCGTGGTGTCTGATGACCGGTCCACCCTGAAGCACTGGAAGGGATTTGTACTGCTTTGTCCTCAGGTGGAAGCTGGTTTAAGAGAATGTGACTGATTTCAGGGTTGGGGCGGAGCTCCTGCCTCTGGAGCAAAGCTGGGGCGTGGCCGGACATTGGAGGCCGTACTCTGGGTAGCTGGACCCTGCCACTTCCCACCCTGCCCTCTGGAGGGACCTGGCAAGGCTCTGCCAGGAGAGAACCAGCTCCATCTCCCCACTGCGGTCCCAGGGACAGACTGACCCCGCTGAACCTGAGGCCATCCCCCACCTTCTCTCTCTCTGAGCCACACAAACAGCAGCTCTGACAAGGACAGGGAAGAGCTGGGTGCTGTGGCACCTGCCTGTACTACTAGCATGGAGAAGCTGAGGCAGGAGGGCTGCAAGTTCTAGACCAGCCCAGGCTACCTAGGAAGTTTGAGGCCAGCTGAGGTACCTAGGGAGGGCCTTTCTGAAAAGACAAAGGAAGGGCTGGAGATTTAACTCAGTGGTGCTGCCGCCTGCCTTGCAAGCACAAGGTCCTGAGTTCGACCCCTGGTACCAAAAAAAAAAAAAAAAGGCAAAGGAACAAAAAATAAAGTAAAAAATTTTTTTTTCCATACCAGAGATTGAACTCAGGACCTTGTGCTTTCCAGGCAGGCACCCACAAAGATAAAATTTTAAAAGGGGAGGGAAGATGGGAGAGGGTTGTAGAGAGCCACAACCCCACCCTTTTGCCTCAAGCTGGAGGTGGGACCCAGACAATCCTGCAGGCCCCGCACCCCTGTGCTGCTCCTCCCCAAAGTGTGGGCTGGAACTGGGAGTGTGAAGGAATAAAAGTCTTCTAGATATCCACTGAACTACCTGGGTGAACTCCTTACCACTTACAAGTCCAATTATTTAAACACAGGCTGACCAAAAAATTGCATATCTTTGTTAATTTTTATAAGATAATATAACAGGAAATATAAAAATGACAATTGAGCAAATTTATTCACTGGTTGAAATGATACCTGCCCAAGTGACACAAATGCACTGCTCTAGTGACACTCAGGGTAGACTATTGAGCCATTAAAAAAAACTCAGTGTTGGGACCGGGGATTTAGCTCAGTGGTTTTGCCGCCTGCTGCACAAGGACCTGAGTTGGATCCCTGGTCCCAAAACAACAAACAAACAAACAAAAAAACAGTGTCAGAGACTCCTACTGGCTTCAAGAAGGAAGTAATCTTGCCAGGCATGGTGGTGCATGCCTGTGATTTCACACTTGGGAGGCTGAGGCAGGAGGATTGTGAGTCCGAGACCAGCCTAGACTACCAGGGAAAATACCAAGAAGAGAGAGAAGCAAACTGCCCTGCTGTGAGAGCCTGGAGGCCACCAGGCAATGGCCTGAGTGTGGTGTCATTGCTGACAGTGGCCAGCAGGAAGTAGGAAAGCAGAGACTTCAATCCCAAGGCTGCAGGGAAAATAGCTCTGCCAACAACCGAGCCGGAAAGAGGGCACAGCTGACCTGTGCCTGGACTCCTCACAGAACTGAGAGAAAACACATTGTGAGGTTGTTAGCTGTGAGTGTGCAGTCTCTTGGGAACACTAGTGCAGCTAGTGTAGCGACCAGGGACTTCACTCTGGAGCGCTATCACTATCCCTGGCCCAGGTTGACCTTAAGCTTGGTGGTCCTCCTGCCTCAGCTTCCTGGGTAGTTGAGATTGTAGGATGCCATTGTACTCAGCTTCTGGCTTCCTTCTCAACCAGACAGACCAGTAGAGCTAATTTTACCCACAGAAAGCACTCCATGTGGGATGTGCCAAAAGGGAGCCCTTAGATCCAAAGAAACCCTCCATATTTCCTATCTTGCTCTTGTGTCTAAAATTCCATCAATATTCACTTAGCAAATATTTATTGAACTCTGTATCAGTTATTTATTGCTCCAACAATGCCATGTAATAAATTCCATGAAAACATTAGCACTGTCACGGGGCTGGGTCACAGGTTCCCAAACTTAACCCACCCCACTGCACCAGGCTCACTGACTCCCATCAAAGAAAGAGTTTTCAGGACACATTCCAAAGAGGCACATGTAGGTTTATTAGGCACAGACAGTACAGGTCACACTCCATGTGCTCTGAGGAATGAGACACAGGATGGTTTGGACCTGGGTACATTTACGCTCCCCCCACCCCCCAACTTGGGTCCTTATGCTTGCAAGGCAGGTGGCACAACCACTGAGCTAAATCCCCGGCCCAGCTCTTTTTTTTTTTTCCTTCTGGTACCAGGGCTCAAACTCAGGACCTTGTGCTTGTGAGGCAGGTATGGCACCACTGAGCTAAATCCCTGGCCCCTATTTCCGCTTTTCTTGAGGGGTGGAAAACCCAGGAAGACAGTGCCATGGATGGGGTTTGCTTTGTCTTGTTTTGGAGAGGGGATTTAAACCTTCTCTAGATTCACTCAGCATTTCACTTAATTGGGCCAATTGACAGCCTTATGTTGATGGGTCTGGTAGGAAGATGTGTCGGTCTGGTAGGAAGATGTGTCAGTCTGGACAAGAACTGTTGGCACAGGGCTGTCTTGAGTGACTTCCGATAGGTCCTGGAAGTTGCAGTGTTTTTACAAAGTAAGTATAATTACAAAGTGTCAGATCCCAGTCCAGGCTGAAGAGAAAAAACTTCCCAGGCAACTCACATATCCTGCAAGATGCAAAAGATACAGCCCCCTGCCCCACCACGCAGCAACAGGGGTCCAGATACCCCTGGAGGCCACCACATTTCCTCCATCCCAGAACAAAAGACTTCCTCCACTCTAGGACAAAATTTTCCTGTTTTAGTTCGATCCCTGATACCGCAAAATGAAAAAAAAAAATCCACGCCTGACACTACACCTACCCTACCGAAAGTACCCTATAAAGTTTTCCCCTCACCCAATCCCCCCCCCCCAGTCAATAGTCTTGTCATTCTTGACTGGCCTGCACCCACGCTGGAAATAAAACCTCACTTGGGCCGGGGATTTAGCTCAGTGGTTTCGCTGCCTGCTGTGCAAGTGCAAGGACCTGAGTTCAATCCCCGGTACCTAAATAAATAAATAAATAAAAATAAAACCTTACTTGTTGCTTCATTTTTGCCTGTTCTGATGGTTTCAGTCATGCCTTGGTTTACCCTAACACAAAGAAGTACAATTTTTGGTTATAATTTCCTTGTCTCCTTTTATTTCTTCTATGTTACCTCAGTATGAGCCAGGCATGGTACACACACTAATCCCAGCACTCTGGGAGGCTGAGGCAGTCAAAGTTTATGAGTTCAAGCGCAACCTGGGCAGTGTGGCAACTTAGCAAGACTGTCTCAAAATTTAAAAATCAAAAAGGGTTGGGGACTGCTGGGCGTGGTAGCCCACGCCTGTGATCCCAGTACTCTGGAGGCTGAGGCAGGAGGATCACCACAAGTTTGAGGCCAACCTGGGCTACATAGGGAGTTCAGATCTGGCCTGAACTACATAGCAAGACTGAATCTCAAAAAAAGGATTGTAGCTCTGTTGGAACATCCTAGGTTCAATTTCAGCACTGCAAAAACAAAACAAAATCATGGATCCCTTCCACAATTCATGTGGCACAGTGCTGGGGACATTCAGATCATGAGGCTCAGCTCTATGAATGGGCTGCTGTTCTGAAAGGGCTGACAGAGGGGGAGTGGTCTCTTGTTGTCCCTCCTGTCATCCCTGAGCTGAGTGAGACTTTTAGCAAACCTGACACCCTCCACAAACAACAGGACACCACTACAGGGTCACACTGCCCTCAGCAAGCTGAACAGATGGCCATTAAGAAAATTTAGGATAGGGCCGGGGATTTAGCTCAGTGGTTCTGTCGCTTGCCTTGCAAGTGCAAGGACCTGAGTTCGATCCCTGGTACCCCAAAAAAAAAAAAAAAGAAAAGAAAATTTAGGACAGGGCCTACAATCTCCCCAGTGCCAGTATCTGTGCACTTGCTCTGACCGCAAGCATTCCATCCCAGATTCCTTAGGATTATAACCCCATCCCCACACCCCATAAGAGCTTTGCCTCTTCTCCAGCCAGCGGCTGAAATCATTCAGAATCTCAGCCCTGTCTACACCCAGACAGATAAATCCAGCCTATGCCTGGGCAGTCCCCCATGTGCCCTCTGTAACACCTCCATCCTCCCCCTGTGCAGTCCTACCTTTGCCCCTCTTGAAGGTGCCCAGTTCAAGGTGCACCCTTGACTCTTAAGACAGCAGTCTGCTGGGGCTCTCAGATCTGTGAGATACAAACATCTCTATAACTCACTCGGGTATTCTATTATAGCAGCACAAACACACAGGGATCTCAATGCCTGTGAGTCCTTTGGCCCGCTGCATGATATTCTAGACCCAGCAGCTGGCTGGAGTAGCCACAGTCTGCCAAGGGTCAGGTAGGTGGCTGGCGGACTTTGGGTGATCTCCCTTGCACACCCAGGGGTCAGCTGGCTGTGGCTGCCTTCACCCTGCCCACTCAACCCTCCCCCTTCACCTCCGCCCCACAGGAGGCCGGGCTCTGCGTCTCACACAGCAGCAGCCTGAGCCGGACAGGCAGGACTCACCTCAGACAGCCCTCAGCTTCAGGCCTGTTGGCCCAGGCAAGATCTGTGGTGAGCCAGATGCCACAGAGGGCCTACACCAATACACAGGGGAAAAGGAGGCCACAAAGTGGGGACCGTTAACTGATTGCCACAGCTGCCACAGGGCCAGATGCCACAGGCCAGAGTGAGGAGTGGGGGAAGACAGCAGAGGTGACAAAGTGGATGTCATCTGCTGGCCACCCAGAGGAGGGGCAGGAGTCCATGACAGAGCCCCCAAGGAGACACCACACAGGCATGGAGCAGGGGCAGTGAGGCAGGAAAGGGAAGCTGTGAAGTAAGGCTGGAGGAAGCTCTTCAGCCTGCATTCCTAGTCAGATGGAATCCACTGGAAAGTTCCAAAGGGGCAGATGACAGGATCTGATTTGTGGCATTAAGGGTCACTGGTAGCCAGACATGGTGGCCCACGCCTGGAATCCCAGCACTCAGAAGGCTGAGGCAGGACTGCAGTGAGTTCAAGGACAGCCTGAAGTATAAAAGTACAAAGTGAGACCCTGTCTAAAAAAATTAAAAAAAAAGCAGGAGGATCTTGTGTTGAAGACTATCCTGGTCAACTCAGTGAGACCCTAATTAAAAAGAATAAAAATAAAAGGATGTTAGTCGGGTATAGTGGTGCACACCTGTAGTTCCCGTACTTCAGAAGGCTGAGGCAGAGGGCCGGGGATTTAGCTCAGTGGTGCTGTGCCTGCCTTGCAAGCACAAGGTCCTGAGTTCGATCCCTGGTACTAGGAAAAATAAAAATTATAGGGACAAATCTGCATGACCTTGTATTTGGCTATGGTTTCCTTTTTTTTTTTTTTTTTTGTGGTACTGGGGATCAAACTCAGGACCTTGCTCTTGTGAGGTAGGCACACGTCACAGCTAAATCCCCAGCCCTGGCTATGGTTTCTTAAATGTGACATCAAAATAATTAGTGAAATACAAATTAAAATCATAATATCTCATATCTACAGAAGGGTGAGGCAGGAGGATAGTACGGGTTACATAGTGAGCTCAAGAACAGCCTGAACTACTAGTACATAGTGAGACTGTCTCAAAGAACTGAAAGAAAGAAAGGTAGGTCACTGACTGGGAAATGGATGCATGTTAGGGAAACAAGTGAGGATACTGAGAGCAGAGAAGAAAAGGGAGTTTCCTGCTGTGTTCGGGTGGATCTGGCAGAGGGAAGAGGGTTCAGGTTACTGCTGTTTCCTGCTTGAGCAAGTGAGTGAGGTACCACTTGCTGGCCAGGTGTGGTGGGGCATAGGCTGAGGCAGGAGAATCGTAAGTTCAAGCCCAGCCTGGATAACTTAGTGACTTACTGAGAACTTATCTAAAATTAAGATAAAGAAAAAGTGCTTTTGCTCAGTGCAAAGGCCCTGGATTCAATTCTCGGTGAAGCAAAGAAAAAAGTTACCACTTACTAAGATGGTGTCTTAGTTACTTTTCTCCTTGCTGAGACAAAATACTTTGACTCCCAGAGTTTAAGGAGGAAAGGTTTATTTGGGTCATGGTTTGTAGAGGGTTCAGTCCATAGTGAGCTGGCTCCAAAGCAGGGAGTCCTGGCAGAGGAACATTGGAGAGGAGAAACAGTCCATGCCGTGGAAGGCAGAAGGTGGCAGCAGCAAGCAACTGACAAGCAGCAAGGTACAAGCGACCAGCAGGGACCCTTTCTGTCCCTTATATCCTGTCCAGACTACCCACCCTTAGAGCGGGTAGTATGGGGCAGCCTTAATCCTAGCATCATATCCTCAATCCCAGCATCACACACCCTAGATCCAGCCACCTTGAAAAAGCACCACTGTGACTGCATGAGGCTTTGGGGGGACATCTGAACATAGCCGTGCCACATGGAGGAACTGCAGGACAGGTGGAGAAGGACAGCTTGACGTGTGAATTTCCGGATGCCTGTGAGATAACACAGGGCAGCTGTGCGGACACCCTGGAGCACCTGGAAGGAAGGGTTTGGAGACTGGGTCTTGCAAAGGAGGGAGCTCACTGGATGCACGGAACTGATGATGGGATGGAGTGGTGATGGGTCCAGTAAGACGAGGGTCTTGATTTTTTTTTTTTTTTGAGACAAAGTCTTGCTATGTAGTTCAGGCTGGCTCTGAACTCACTAAATATCCCAGGCTGTCCTCCAACTCAGGGCAATCCTCCTGCCTCAGCCTCCTGAGTGCTGGGATTACATTACAGGTTTGCACCACCATGCCTGGCTGAGGTTGAGGTTTTTATGAGGGTTTGAGTATTTGGAAAAAGGGCCTAGGCAGCAAAGGTCATTGATTATCTAAAGAATGTCCTTGCCCGATATGGTCACGCATGCCTGTACCTCAGCACTTGGGAGGCTGAGGCAGGTGATCACTATGAGTTCCAGGCTAGCCTGGGCTACACAGCAAGGCTCTGTCTTAAAAAACCACAATGATAACAACAATAACAACAACAACAACAACAACGTTCTTTTCCTGGCCCATTTAGCACCTTGCAGATAGATCTTCAGGGAGTCTTGGACTGAGTTTAAAGTCCTGTGTTTACAGTTGTACTTGCAAGAAGGCCATTCTCCTCCACCCAGGGAAGACCTTCAGCTCTGGCTAGGCAATGATTTGGAATCTTTTAGAAAAAGTATGTGGGACTCCTGGGTGGGGGGAGTGAATGGGCCTGACATCAAGGGTGATGATGGCTTTGCCAAGGGCTACCACTGTAGCAAGCAGCACTTGAGGCTCAGCACACAGGCTGCTCTCCTCAGTTCCAGTTCCGAGCTGGGAGGTTCCAGTGAGGGAGGGGACATGAGCTGATGTCCCCAGGAATTTCAAAAGGTGGCTAAAATTTGGAGCTTCTACTCCTGATTTGGTAGAGAAATTGGAGAGAGGAGAAAAGGTATCTATGGGAAGAACAGGGCTTTTTTTTTTTTGAGGGACAGTAAACGGACTTTTAGACAGACAAATTGGGGTTGGGTGCGGTGGCACAGGAAGGTAATCCCAGGATTCGGAAGGCTGGGGCAGGAGGATCACTTCGTGTTCGAGGCTAGTCTGGGCTATAGTGAGCTCAGCCATCCTGAGCTGCATAGTGAGACCCTGTCTCAAAAACAAAACAAAAAACACCCCCACCCAAAAGGGACAAATTGTAGCTAAGAAAAGTCTGTGGCACTGTTTGCTTATGCAAGTGGCTTCCTCACAGCCATATGCCCCCCCCCCCCCCCCCCCCGTTTCTCCTGGGAGTGGCAGATGCTCACAGAGGGGATTTATGGCAGTCCTTGTTTCTCAGATTTTCTGCTTTTAATCAGATATGTGGGGATCTCTGAGAAGGTTTCTTTCTGCATCTGTTAAATCTCAAATATCTTCAGTTTGAAATAATCTTTATCCAAAGCAGGTTCTTGAGCAGTCACTCAGAGCTCAGCACTTCCGCCACCCTCTGGCTCACTGTGAATGGCTCAGGTCACCTGAGCTCTGTAGCCAAGAGCTGCCCAGCCTGACATCGCCCTGTGCATCCTGACAGTGCTATTTACAGCAGGGATGGGCAGGGATGGGACTTCAACCGACCTGGCCAGGGTTTTTTTTTTTTCATTCAGTTCTGGGTATTGAACCCAGAGCCTCTGCACTGAACTACATCCCCAGCCCTTTTTATTATTATTATTTTTTGAGTTAGGTCATCTGTAAGTAGCTAAGTTGCTTCAGCTGGGCTTGAATTTGTGATCTTTCTGCCTAAGCCTTTTAAGAATGGTGAAATTGGGCTGGGGATTTAGCTCAGTGGTTCTGCCATCTGCCTCAAAAACACAAGGTCCTGAGTTTGATCCCTGGTACTGCAAAAAAAAAGAATGCTGAAATTATAGGCATGTGCCACCCTGCCCCACTGAGCAAAAAATTTTTTTTATTTTTTAGAAAGAGTCTCGCTATGTAGTTCAGGCTGGCCTTGGACTTATGGTGATCCTCCTGCCTCAGCCTCCCAAGTACTTTGATTACAGGGGAGCACCTCTTTGTTTTGTTTTGTTTATTGGTACCAGGGATCAAACTCGGGACCTTGCACTTGCACGGCAGGTGTGCACCTCTTTATATATCTCTTTACATCTCTGAGGCTTCTTTTTTTTCGTACTGGGGATCGAACTTGGGTCCTTGCACTTGCAGGGCAGGAGGCAGAACCACTGAGCTAAATCCCCAGCTCCAAGGCTTACTTTCATTGGAGTTTTCTTGGGAATATAGCAAGCAGGATTTACAAAGCAGAGCAGGGGTTGCATGTGTCAGGGGAAGAGCTCAGAGTTCTGGCAGGAGTTTCTGAGTCCCTTACACCACTGCCTTTTGGTGACAGATTACAGAAGTTGTCATGGCTACTCAGGTACATTCTTCAAAGAGCACAGTTGCCTAGTTAAGCCATAGTTGCCCAATAACACAGTTAACCCATGGTTGCCCAATCCCATATGGAGGGGCGGTCTCTTCTCTCATTAGCAGTTTTTAGATAAACACTCCATGAGGGGTTAACTGCTCTGTGCAGAGCGAGCGGGGATCTGATTCCAAAGCTTTAGGTGGACAACAGGAGACAGATACAAAACGAAGGCAGAGAAGCCAAGCTTTATTCTGCTCTTGCTCACTTATTAGACACCTTGAGGCCCAAGTGAAACGTTGGTGCTTTTTCACAAAAGCACTTTTTAAGTTCCTCCCAGCCCAAGGCCATCCTCCTGACAAGCGTGCAGGTCAGTGGCCATTTACCAGGTCAGAAGTCCAAGGCTTGAGCTCAAGTGGTGCACCAGGCCCTCGCTCCACAAGGTCACTAGGGCCCTGAAAGTGCTGACAGCAGGAAGGGCTGGGAAACAGCAGGGCCCAATGCTGGGACATTGGGGGCCAGAGAGGAGAGCACATTCAGCGCAAAGTTCAAGCCCGGAGTATTAGAAAGAGGCCAGGGAGTTGTACCCTGCTGGCTCTGGACAAAACGACAGCCCTCTCCTCTCCCCCTACCTCAGAGTAGTCTTCGGGGGTTGTCTCCTGCCGACAGTGTCTCCCTTTCTTTCTTCTGAGCACCGAGAATTAAAAATTAGGAAGGAAGGAGACATTCAAAACATGCCCTGCCATTCATCCAGCTGGGACAACAAAGAAAGCCAGTTAGAAAGTCAAACAGGACTGTTTCTCACAAGGGCAAGGACAGGCAGCAGCCACAAAGTGGCAGGAGGAGGAGGAGTGCTGCTTTCTCTTTCTCGCTCCTAGAGATTTCAGACATCTGTTCTCCAAAGCCAGACTCTAGACCAACTGTGCCATTTCTGGCAGTGCGGTGGAAATCTCCCATTTTTGCCCAGAGCGTTAGGTGACTGTGACAGCAGCATCAATGTACAGCCTGGGTGAGCAGCTTTAGATAAGCATCCACATCTACCTACTCTGCCCTTTCCTTGGAAAGGACCCTCAGCTCCACCTGGCAGATTTGATGTGACACAGCTTATTTTCAGGCTTGCAAAACACTGCTTGGGGGCAGATTCCTCCTAAATTTCCCCTCCCCAAAGCACCTACCAGCTGCCTTTCCCAGGCCCAAGACTGCCATGGCTCTCACTGAGGGCTCTTCCTCCCTGCAGCTTCCCCCAGCTTGACCTCGTCAGACTCCAGGCTTGTCCCCGGTGGCCCTGCTGTTTGGTCTGGGACAGGGCCTCACAGACATTCCCCTCCTGTCCCCAGCCTTGACTTTGACTCCCAAGGCCTAGCTGGTTGGGTCAACCTCGGCTGGGCAGCACAGGTGCTTCGGCTTGTGCTCTTTCACCCGCCCATCAAGCATTCATGGTGCCAGGCGCTGGGCCGAGGCCTCCTGAGGTCCTTTCTCTCCATCTTTTACCCAGGTTGCTGGTGGGGTTCCATCAAGGCCCTGTGGGCCGGGGATTTAGCTCAGTGGTTCCACTGCCTGCCTCGAAAGCACAAGCACCGAAGTTCGATCCCCAGTACCAAAACAAACAAACAAACAAACAAACAACACAAGGGTCTGAAGCTGGGTCCCTACAGTTTGGATTTCTTCTCCCTCAGACCATCAAGAGTACAGGAAAAAAAACACCCAAAAATGGAAAAATAAGTTTATTTATGATTTGGCCAAATGGGTGAGGCAGCTAGCCTGGCCCCCAGCACTATCTTGTAGAAGGGGTAGAAGAAAAGCCAGGAAATATGCAAATTTAGCCCAGCCTAGGCCCACAAGGAACCCAGGAAATGTTGACTCCTCCTAGTACCAGGGCTAGAGGTGGGAGGTTCTGCTCTCAGCAGGAGGAAGCTGAAAAAACTGCTTACTGTAAACATTTTTGTTGTTTTTTTGAGACTGGCTGGCCTTGAACTCACTGTGTAGCCTCTATGTGGCCTTGAAATCTCAGTGATCCTCCTGCCTCAGTCTCCCAAGTGTTGGGATCCCCCAACCTTTAAAAATTTTTTATTTTGTGACACATTCTTGTTTTTTGTTTTTGGTACTGGGGATAGACATTGGGCCCTTGTGCTTTCGGGGCAAGTGGCGGCACCACTGAGCTAAATCCCCAGCCCCAACATTCTTGCTACATTTCACAGGTGGGCTCAGTATCCTCCTGCCTCAGCCTTTTAAGTGCTGGCATTACAGGCATATACCCCACTCCTGGCTCTGCAGGACTTTTAAGCAGTATTCAGAGAATTTAAGTTCACATATATATAAATGAAAAATCGCTTCGAGGCCTTTTGGCTAAAATCAAGTGTAGTATAAATGAAAAAGCAAAAAAGGCCTATGCCTGTAGTTCCAGCTACCCTTGAGCCTAGGAATTTGAGACCAGCCTGAGAAACATCATGAAAACCCATTTTAAAAACAAAGCAAAATTTTGCTCTAATCTCCCCCATCCTTTTGTTTTCTTTTTTTTTTTTTTCTTCACGTTTCTCTTGTCCAATTTAATCTATGCGTTTAACTTACAGTGCTTGGAGAAGGCAACGCCACATGGTCCCAGGCCATCATATTTTTTAAGGGAAATCACTTTTTTTCTTTAAAAGTACTCTTAAAAATATGCAAAAATACAAATGGGACTGCTAAATTATAATGCATGTCAGAACAAGCATGTCTTTTCTTCCTTTAAAGTGCCATACAGGGAATGATGTCTGGTGACCCAGAGCCACTTCATTTAAAATCCAATGTGAATGGACTCTGAGAGAATGAAAAGTCTGTACAAGTCCTTGGAGCAGTGAGTCTGCTACGTGCAACTTAGCTACAAAGCACTCAGGCCTTCGTAGCTTTTCTGAAACTTGAGTCCCCATCCCATATTTAATGGAAATTAACATTTACAAGGGTGCATTTACATACACTATAATACAGGAATGATGTCCCTTTGCTGGAAGATAAAATTGTACATATTTCCTTGCTATTTCTTGGTTCCAACTCGATAATTTCTTAAGATTGTAAATTATATAGTACTCAGCTAAAATATTTCTTCATAAATAGTTACAAATCCTCAAAGCAAAATAAAGGTCTGAGGATGAAGCCAGCTCACTTGTAATCCTGCTAAAGAATGAGAGTCACCGTTTAGGTCCAATGTACTGGAAAACACTTGCTAGCTCAGAACGGTGTATTTGTAGCTTTGCTAAGAATTCAACCATGGATGCCGAAGGCATTCGCCAGCGGAGGCTCATTTTTCTGGAACCATTTCTAACATCGGGATGAGGAAATCTGTAACCTGTGCAGCATCTTCATGTGGCCAGCCATACTTTTCCACAAGTACATCAAAGAGGCTCCAGGGCTTCAGCTTGGTGATGTGCCACAGTTCTCCTTCATCCCTGGAATAGTCTTCCCCGGAATGTGGTTCAAACAAATAGTCTCCAGTTGCCAGCTCAAATGCCATGCACGCTGTGCTCCAAATGTCTGCAGGTGTGCTGTAGCCTGCTCCTATCAGCACCTCTATGGATCTATACTGACGCGTCTGGATGTCCTCGGTGAAGTGTTTATGCACCCAACAAGCATTTCCCAGGTCAGCAATTTTTACTCTAATTTTATCTGCATTCCGAGGATCCAGGGGGTTCACCAACAAGTCGGCCGCCCGGGTCTTTGTTTTTGGCAAATCCCCAGTACTGGAGGCTGAAACCGTCCTGCTTCTGTCATGGGAAGGACTGCTTTCTTCCTGCTTGGTAAGTGGCGATCCCTCGGAAAGCACAGAGCCGCAGGCCACAGGTTCATTGAATTGTTCATAGGAGCTGCTATATGTGTAATCACTTTCTGCATTTGGCTCATCAAGGTTATACTCCTCAGGATTTGGGCAGTCATCTTCATCATCCTCTTCATCTTCCAGCTGCTGTTCCAGTAAGAATGGGCCATTCTCAATATGGCCATTTGTTTTGGGTGACTCGATCCGTGTAGGGTCTATGTTCCCAAGTTCTTGATCGACATCATCTTCATCCTTCTCAACATTTTCTTTCTCAGCATCTTCCTTCTCTTCCTGGTCTTCAGCTTCACCATTGTCCTTTGCAGTCTCTTCCTCAGCCGTCTCCTCTAATCCTGCTTTTAGTTTCACCTCTGCACAGAATTCATCATCTTGCTCACTGGAAGGTACAGAAGAGCTGATGTTTTCCTCTATTATTTTCCTTTCAGCTTCTCGCTGCAATTCTTCTCTCTTCCGCAGGCGTTTTTCCAATAACTCAGCCTGCCTCTTCTGTTTCTTTTTCAGCTTTTTCTTCTTATTTTTAGATATTTTTCCTATAGGTTTTTGCTGTGGAGCCGTACTCACTGCAGACCCTGAAGGAGGAGGAGCACCTGCTTTCTGCCACTCCGTCGCCTCTGCTGCCATTCTTCTCACATATGCATCATCCACACACATCAGGATGTTTTCTGGCTTTATGTCAGTATGAATAATCTTGCACTTACTGTGTAGATAATCTAAACCTTGGAGGACCTGTTGAATGATACTCTTCACACAACGTACTGGGAGGCCCTGATAGTTGGACTTGATGATCCACTTGAGGAGATGGTGGCCAAGCACTTCGAAGACCATGCACACATGTATTCCATTCATGCCTGAAATCTTGAAGTCATCAGTGAGCTGTACCACCATGTCTTTGTTTGGGTCATTGGGATCACTTTCTCGAACACATTTGAGCAATTTTATTTCATCCAAGGCTGTCTCTGTGTAATGCTGGGCACTTTTTACAACTTTCATTGCAACAAATCTTTTCCCCTGCATATCCCAGCACAGCCAGACAGTAGAGAAGTGCCCCCATCCTAGCTTTCTAATGACATGATATCGACCATTGAAGAGGTCTCCAATTTTCACTGGATGATAGCCACCTTTCTGAAGAGGACGACTTCTCAGAGTTAACTGACATCAGCAGCTCAATCTTCTGCTTGATTTTGCAAGGATGAACTTTGGTATATGTACTGCTGAAGCAAGCACTGCAAGGATGAACTGTGGAAACATCAAGTTTTTCGGATGTTTCTCTCTTTTCGGCCTCCGCTTTCGGGCCTGAATGGCCAGCACTTTCCGGGAACTCATCTTGGCGCGGCCGGAGCGAGGCAGGGGGCTTCGCGCGGCGGCGGCGGCGGCGCCAACGCAGGAGCCCAGCCGAGCCCACTTCCAGCCTCCACGCGCTCCACCGGCCGGGAGGAGGCGGCTTCTTTTGTTTTTTGAGACAAGGTCTCGCTGTGTAGTCCTGGCTAGCCTTGAACTCCCTATGTAGCCCAGGCTGGCCTAGAACCCCTGGCAATCCTCCTGCCTCAGCCTCCCCAGTGCTGGGATTGTAGGTATGCACCACCACACCTGGCTCCCTTCTTTTTTTTTGGTACCAGGGATTGAACTCAGGACCTTAAGCTTGCCAGGCAGCTGCGGTGACACTGAGCTAAATCCCCAGCCCTCCCTTACTCTTAAAATAAGGCCGTACATAGTAATGGATTGTGTCTGTTGGGCACTGCAGGTTAAAGACAATTTAGCAAGAGAAAGATTTTTGTGTATGTGTGCTGCTGAGCATGGAACCAAGGCTTTTTGAATGGCAAGCAAGTGCGGTACCGCTGAGCTACAACCCAGTCGTACATAGATTGTTATTTGCATCTGTACACAAGAGTTCATGGAAATGTGATCCAAGAGGCCATAATATTAAAATTTGGGGCTGAAAATACCATTTTAACAATATAAAAGAAAGGGAAACGAAGGCTTCTACAGAAAGAATGAGTGCGTTTCTGTGGAAGCAAATGAGAGTCCAGAAGGTGGAGATGATGTCTGTTTATGCAGGAGGAGGGTCTTTGAGTGCCTCCAATTTAATGTTATTGTAACTCATTAATTCTCTCAATGACATTGCAGTAGATTGAATGTAGGGAATGCCCCAAATCTGACCTTTGCAGAGTACAAAATTTTAATTCTTTTTGGTCTCGCTTAATATATTGTTGTGCTCATCTTCCAAAGAATAGTGTAGGCTCAGGAGGGATAAGCCTGCTGTGGGACAGAAGTTAAGGGGTAGAGTTCTCGGATAGCTGGAGAAGGGGGCTCTGATCCCACTAGAGGACTGTGAGTCATCCGACCCCTGTGGAGTTGCTTCCTTAGAGTCTTGGGGTTAACACGTTTGGGCAGCTACAGTTGGCTCCTTCTCACAGACTTCACTGACAGTTGACTCAGTAAGAAGTCATGAGTGTTCTAGAGTTGACAGGAAGGTTATTTTAAATTTAATGCCAGGCCAGGTGTGGTGGTGCATGCCGGTTGTCCCAGCACTTGTGAAGCTGAGGCAGGAGGATCACTATGAGTCTGAGGCCAGCCTGAGCTACTGAGTGAGACCCTGTCTCAAAAAGAAAGAAAGGAGGGCCGGGGATTTAGCTCAGTGGTTTTGCCGCTTGCTGCGCAGGCGCAAGGACCCAAGTTCAATCCCGGGTACCAAAAAAAAAAAAAAAAAAGGGGAAACAAAGCTTTGGGCTGGGGATTTAGCCCAGTGGTTCTGTTGCCTGCCTCGCAAGTACAAGGACCTGAGTTCAATCCCTGGTACCAAAAAAAAAAAGAAAGGAAGGAAGAAAGAAAAAAATAAACATAAGGAGTCAAGATTCAACAGATACAGAAAGAAGCTTTTTTGTTGTTGTTGTTGTTACTGGGGATTGAACTCGGGTCCTTGCACTTGCACAGCAGGTGGCAAAACCACTGAGCTAAATCTCCGTCCCGAAAGAAGCTTTTTTAAAGCTTGTCTTATCTTCTTCTTTTTTTTTTTTTTGGTGCTGGGGATTGAACTTGCCTTATCTTCTAACAGCAAAGGGGAAACACTGATCAGCACCCAGAACTTGGAGGCAGAAAGCAAACTTTATTACATTGATGGACCTGGTTGGGATAGTTCCTCAAAGAACCAGGAAGCTGTCTTTTGTTCTTCTACAGTTT